AATTTTATCACCACATTATGGAGTCATTCATTTCGCACATCTCCTAATGGATTTCCACGTTGGAAAGTCTTGAGCGCAGTTTTTCTCTCTGTCCTCAATAATTAATTTAAGCCCCAAAACAGAGCGCACAAGGAGGATTTCCAGTGAAAAACATGCCTCAAATGACAAAGTGATGCTTTCTCTCTCTCTGCCCAGTTAATTAGCACACGGGCTCCCGCACCCAGAGAACATCACTCTTCCACTTCCTTTTCTCCATCATTCTTCTTCGCAATCGATTTCGCTGCTTCACCCCGAAATATACGTTCTACTTGTCGAGCAATCTTTTGATCTCGAAGTAACAATAAAATGTTCAATTAAGACAATTTCCTATACGCGTGTTTTTTCTGCCAATGGGTTTTTCTTCAATTTTCTCTTACAAATCTATTCCAAGAAGGATATAATACAATATGTAGCGTCTAGAGATTCGCAGAGGAAACTTTCACCCCATTTAAAATGACTAATTGGATGTTCTTCCAATTTATCTCATCTCTTGCGCGCTCTTTTTTGTGCCATTGACAATTTGTTGGTGCTTGAAAGCATGGCTTTTTATAATTTTATTGCTTGTCTATCAAAATCCATTATTGGTGAGTTGTTGGTGCAGCTATAAAACGCTCTAAATATCACCTTTCAAATTTACAAGCACTCACAAAATGTTAATCATCATTTATGGCCAACGGTTTTGGGAATTTATGCGTCTTACACGAGAAGTCTAACAAAATCCACTCAAAAAATCATCCTCGAAAAAAAGTCTTGTTTGCAGTAAAAATATTGCCTTGCGCTGCTTGTCTCTAATGGCCTGACAATTCAATTACACATTGCCAAATGATGGTAAATTTATGCTAAAAACCCTCTTCAGTGCGATGACAAAATATTTACTATGACTCATGATTTGGCCATTTCACTCAATTCACACACAAAAATTGCGGGCGAGTAGCAAAAAACCAGCTCGTGTGCTAAACTTTTGAGAGAACAGAAAAATTTAATTAAGTAGACTTCAAAGTCATCAAAGCTGGACTTGTGTGTTTTTGTGCATCGTCACGCAACCTTCTGGAAAATCATAAATCTCACATTTAATTGACTTTCTGACCATCTCGACTCATATTTGTTGAAATTTTTCAAGCAACACGCTGGCGACGCACTTCTGTGGTGGAAATTAGGGTAAGAAAATCACTTTAATATAGTGAATAAAGCGCGCTTCGAGTCATTTGTTACAATTCCACAAGTGTATGGCGACTGTATCTAATCCGCTACACATTTGACTGTTAAATTTCAGTCATAAAATCCAATTAGTGGAAACTAACACATGTTGATGCGATGGAGGGATTGTCAATTACCGCCGAGGTTCCATTGATGGATTTCTTGGACACCAGAACGCATCACGTCCGAGAATTTGTAACACTAAACGACACATTAAGCTGTCTAATAAAATTCTTGCGGGCTTCCCTGGACAAAGCCATGACAATCTGGCCATATGTGAAACTTAATCGCCTCTCTAGAGTTCATCGAGTTCGTGGATGTGGAAGAATTGGCGACGAGACGATGGCTTTTCCCCTCCATGGACTGTTGCACTTTTTACTCTTGAATAAATTTATAAACTAAGAAACTTAATCTCCGTCACAATGTGACTCCATGAAGGGGAAGTCACTTTATTCGCCATGGCACTTTACATAATTCTGACTACTCACAGCGAAAATCCGCCAAAGAGTCACAGAGGGACGTCTTGTACTCTTCATGCCACGCTGGACAATCAACATGTTAGGGACTATTTAACCCTTGTGCGCTCTTTATGGATAAAATCAGCAAAATTTCCCCGATAGAATCCAGATACAAACTGATATCTCTTATCGTTGAATCAAGAAGTGTCACTGTAACGTCTGCAAATTGCTACAGAAGTGGAATTTTCGCTCTTAATCTCGTCTCCGCGATGACTTTCAACTCACGACATGACGTGAAGAGTTGTACACGCGAAATATACCCCAATTAATTTGAAGAGATCAACTCTCGATCGTGGGCCGGCATTTCGAATGCGAGGGTGAGGGAGAAGCTGAACCATTAAATTGCTATCTTGAATTAATTATCTCGAACCGCCCAGAGAGTCTGTGGAGCAAATCTGTGGGCAATTGACAAGAATTTCCATGAAAACCAGAGACCATGTCTTCCCATCAATTGCCACCCGAGAAGCCGTGGCGAGACTGGAGCGCGCGATCCAATCTCGACGACTGGTCGAGTGGAGGAGGACCGCGGAAAGCACAAAATGATCATCAAATGGAGTGAGAAAATTATTATTATTCCTGCCTTGTAATGCTCGCTAATGAAGTTTATGGGGAAAAAAGTCCGTGGCGCGTCTGGAGGACAAGTGAATTTTTCGTACACAGAGGAGAGACTCGTTATAATTGGGGAAGGAAAAAATCTCTCGATCACTCTTTATCCCTCCTGTCTTTTGGGGTCTCTTCTTTTGGACAAAATGATCGAGAATGAGTATGATTGACTTGTGAGATTTGGTTCGATTGTTTGCCTTTTTTCTCCACCGCTCGCTCTCCATCTTATTAAAATGTTCTGGGTGTTATTATTCTTGATCAGCCCAGCACAACACACCTCATTGACTCAGGAACAGATTGCTCTATTGTTACTCATCACACTTCCTCTCGCCGCGCAGCAGATCTTCTATTTTCAATTAAATCCCCAGCCACAGTTCATTGAAACGCATTCCTTTCATCCCTGAATTAACATTGAAATGTTCTCCATTGGCGGATCTCAGGTCCATCAAAGGCCATGGAATGCTTTTCAATCATGACAAGTGAGTACAAGTTGTACAGAAAGTCTGTTTCTCCGCATATTCGTGATACTGTGACATTTAGGACTCATTAAAAAGTCTCAAATGTGTCTCAAAAGTTGCCTCATTCTGCGCGTTAAATAATTACCACAATGTATAATTTACCTGTAATTTGAGCTCACAAAATGAAATGCGCCTCAAAAATCAAGCGCGATTTGAATCTCCATCGGCCATTGCATAATTATTGAGTTGTGCATTTTTTCTCGTCTTAGATAAAATCTCTTGTATACAGATGTAAGTTTTAATGACTATAATTTCATTCTGCACAGCAGAATTTCATCACAAGCATATTGTCAGAAAAAGAGGAACACTTTCTGTGCACTTTTGCATGACTTTTCTATGCAGGTCTTCGACTGTGTGCGCATAAATCTCAGCACTCGACTGAACAAAAAATTCATAACTCATTATAAAGTATTAAATTCTTGTACATTCGGAGCAATGGAGAGAGAAAGTCATCGTGAGTTTGAGGATACAATTGCGGAAATTGTCGATATGAGCGTAAATCTCGTGGACTGGGCTGACAAAGCGCACATTCTGCTGTGGCTCCGGAAGTTGTGCGGCACAATTCGAGAGGATAGAGAGTTTAAACTCGCCCTGGACTATGCGAAGTATCTCAAGTTGGCACTGGAAGAGACCTCAGGCAAGCAAATAACCAAATTGTACGAGTTATTTGAGGAGAAGCCACCCAAAGGAAAATTGCCACCACTCCCAGTGACACTGGGAGAAGCGCTCTTCGGCAAATATGCCGATCTGAAGGCTTTTGGAGACATCCGACCCATTGTGTGCCACAAAACCGCCAATGGCGAGGGTGTGATGGTCGTTGAAAAGGACTCCAACGGTATGATCAGCACCTACATGGCCATTCACGGCGCTCTGCAGAATTAATGGTGTTTGGATATCATTGAAGGTGCGGCTCTTGGAAATCCGATAGGCAAATTCAACAGCACAAGGATATTGGGATCATTTTTCTATGCTTGAAAATTAACTCAGAACGGCCACAATCTCTATTCTAAAGGCTCCGTATGTTATACAGTATATAATAATCACGTGGAAGGGAATAAAAGAGTTACTCCATTGTTGTATAATGAATTGAAACTTCAAGAAGATGAATTTCTCATTCAATTCCCCCTGACGTGTTCTTTTTTATTCCCACCTCCTGGTTTCTCACACAATTTCGATCGTCTTTCCCGATTTTTAATGGGTTCCCCTCATCAGAAAAAAGTGGAATAAATTCAAATTGGAGAGGGGAACTGCGCACAGTGAATTAATTCGCAATAATCATCAAAATTAATTACACAAATTGTTCTCATTTCATCAGTCGGCAATCATGTGATGTTGCACCCATGCTGAGAGGACCGGAGGTGGCACTCAATGTTGCATCTTTATAGGCCTCCATCCCAGAGGAAGTCCATATTTTGTCAGCAATTTTTGGCAACTTCTTCACAATATTTAAATCCATACACGAATTCGATGAAATAAGACCCAGAAGAAAGACATGCCGCCACTGTTTCTTCATTTTCGCTTGAATATAAATTGACTAATAATGAAATTGGATGGCTAAAGAATAACCTTCTGGGCTGCAGCATGAATTGTGTGGCATATAAATTCACAGATACTCATCAATGATAAATGATTAATTTGGAAACATGGAGAAAATTACAATAATAACTGATTCACGGATTTTTTCGTCTCTTTCTCATCAGTGTCCCTTTCGACCTCTCGGAGGCAATGGTACAATTTTTACAGCTTCTCTTTCCACAACTTTACTACACTTGATCTTGCGGTAGAAAATTCGGGCAAATTAAAAATTCTCTTAAGATCCACCCTTTAGAAAGCCCCGCCCATTTTTCCAGCAACAATAGTTTCAAGTATGATTTCTAGTTTTCTACACATACGCAGATTTTTCTACCCCAACTGCGACACGACACTACACCTGAACAGTGCGAATGATGGTTGAAAAAGAAGCAAAAATTTATATCTCTTAATTGGCTCATTTGCATTTTCTCTCTTTCTCGCTCTCAAAATTTAAGGTGTACATTTTGCGAGCGGAGCAAAATAAAATGTAATCTTCCAGTGTGGTTGGCAAGAGGTAAAAGAAACAATAAAGAAATGTGCATCTTGTACTCACTTTCTGCCACTGTTGAGAAAAACATCCAGTTCCACGGACATCTTGCAGCACAGCGCCTTTCGGAAGTGACCCATGGAGCAGTTGGTGTTAATCATGTGGCCATCTGAAAGTTATCGCAAGTGTTAGTCGCAGAGTGCATTTCTCAATTAAAATACACCGCAAAGGACATTCGGTGGAATCTTAATTGGGGGCGAGTGATAAAAGTTCACAATCAAAGGCATTCCGTGTCAATTTAATTGAACATTTGAGCATCCCTGATCCGATTTTCTCTCTCTCCGATCGAATTTGCCACCATCAGAGTCTGGCGATCCTCAAACAGCGCGCATTATCATTGGGATGCGCGCTGTAATTTTCTCCTTGGCCATTGTGTGACGCCCCAGAACACGGGATTAAAGGGGGTATGCATTGATAGAGAAGGGAATAAAATACACTAAGATGCTGAGGAATTTTGATTGGATCAGAATGCTGTTGAGATATTTTGTCCAATTAAAAGATATTTCTTTCTGTCTGGCAAAGCAGAGGCACTTTGACACCCTTCGACACCATCACACAAAAAATGTGCATTCGCTTCTCTCTTGGCCAGAAGATAATCAATTTGGATCCCCTTTTCGGACAAAAACAGCCAATTTTCGGGGAGACACGCCAAGAAATCGTTAATTTAGCATCCCGAGCATCACTCTTGTGACAATTTAATGATTCTAGAGGGTCTCCAACTTCGGCACCAAATGCCCACTTAATTGAATTCACGAACAAAGTGAATATAAAACGATAGAAAGATGGGAAATATCGGTGTGGTGGCGAGAATTCCGGATTCAAACATACATTTTCTGGTGGTTGACAAAAGAATTGGATTTTCATGGAAATGAACACCGCACTTTCGGCCTCCACCGGCTTGAAAATTGAGATGTGCGCCCATTTGACCTCTGCCACCGACTCCACCTCGTCTAATTAGTGTCACTCTTGAGCTCTGTGCCACAAATCACCACCTCCAATGATGAGACTCTCCTTCTGACCATCTCTCCTCGCGCATTCTGTCTCTCCGCGCTTTTATGTGATGTCTGACTGGAAACTTTTGCCATAGATAGTGAAATATTTCCGCATAATTTGCAAGAGACATCCACTCATGAGATTAGCTTCTCTGCACACATGTAATTCGGTGATTCATTAGAATGGCAGCAACATTGGAGAATCCGCATATTTCAGTAGAAGAAGAAAGGTCGTCGGCACGTTTGATAACCGCCTCTTATAGCCCATTAAACTGTGGCCGCTATTCTAGAATACAGATTTGACTGAATGCTTAATGCATGTGTTTTCTTAAACTTAAGAGATATATTGGACAAGCTCAAAATGCAAAACCTCTCAATTTCACGCTTGATTTGTCTGGCTTTTGTCAGAAACCGAAAATAACAAATTTGTGTGGAGTTAATCACAATGTTATGTGAATTCCTAATGAGTGTCCAAAACTCACTCAATCAATTGACTCCATTTCTTGCAGAAATGGTTAAATTTTCCCAATGTGTTATAATTTTTTGAGTTGTTCGCGTGGTTCAGCTCACTAAGCTAAGCTGCGTGTTTGCTTATTACGTCCTTTCTAATTCTGCGTTGCTCATCAACTCGTCATTTCTTGTGTTTTGTGTGCGCGATAAAATTGGGCGGATGAATTTACTCACGTCTCAACAATTGACAGTGATGAAATGGTCAATCTCATTGCCACACCATGATTGCTTTTTAATGATTTCGGTAGTCAACTTGTGACCTTTCGCCAAAGTTTAGTTGCATCTTTCATCGGCAAGTTGGTAAATTTCATATCATTGGAAAAATGCCATCCCTCGTCAGATAAACCTGTGAGATTGGCAGTGTTCTTGAAACCCAAGAACTCTCTTGCTGACTAAATAGTCTCAAATTTCATTCCATCCACCCTTAAGGCTACGCCACTGAAGACATCCTCACACTTTTACACTACATAAACGACTTTTTCTGTCCATCGTCATTTTTGCGCGGCACCTAAAGAATTTCAACATCATTAGGAGGTATTCTATCAATTCCTTAACAAGATAAATCGCCGTCTCCTTATGGGATTTCGCGGAGATCTTTTTGCCTCCTGGACCAAAACCCAAAAATATTCAATTCACCACGATCCAAAATACCATCGCTTCTCCACCAGCCACACTTTACACCGCCTTTTTTCTGCCTTCACGCGGGTTTTGTGTGGGATTTTTTTCAATAAATTCACCTTTGCAAGTATGGCAAAGAGGTACAAGAAAAAATGTGTGTCATTAAAGCGCCTCTCGAATGGCTCTTTAGTGATTTTATGGTGATTTTACTACCTTTGTCTTAGGCATTTGCCATTTTTTATTACTTTACAATCTGATAGATGACGAGGGTGATGATTTGAGTGATATCACACAATTAGCAGAGACGGTGTCTTTTGAGGAAATTGAACTTTCTCCAGCCATTATTGGGTGCACATTTTAGAGACGCAATAAAGTCGTCTTATCTCAAAACACGGCGTGTGTGTGGATTTTCTCTCAATTTGTGCTACTGAATGACATCACATATGTGACTTACTTGTGATTTCCTGGTAGTATTTATCATTGGTGTCAGTGAAAAACCACGTCTGCAAGAGAAAATGAAAGAGATCAATTAGTTTATCTTACAATATTTAAATTTCTGCTGTGAGAAATGTCAACGATTTTTTGCACTGTCTTGCGCTCCATCAAGAAAATAATGTCCACTCTTCGCGAAGAAAAATTCATACACATTTCTTTCATACCCTCGCGCTCAATGCACCTTCGGTGAGAGTCACAGAAGGCACGAATCCTACCAGATAACATTAATTTCAAATTGTTTCACGTTTATCTGCTGGCAAAGAAGTGTGGTCACATGTGATTGCTCGGCGATCTCTCGCGCTTGGACGACAATATGCTGGCCAAGGAGACTGGAAGTGAACACACAGCCAAAAATGCATATTAACGTCTTCGTCCCCGCACTTTGCCCGGGAGCCTTTCATGTTGTTGACGTGAGATCTGCGCGCAAAAAGTAGTTAATGTCCATCTTGCAGCGACGCAGCAACTGAAGATGGTGAAGTGCGGAGAAAAAGGTTGAGAATCTCGCGAGAAAAACACGGCCAGTTTGTATACATCTGAAAACGGGAATACGAGTCGCAAGTATTTTGCTGAATTAGATATTTATTGCATTTCGATTGATCGTGGACTTTTGTCGAGAGCACCTCGTTCGATATCCATCTCCAACTGGCTTTTTTTCACCACCCATTTTTCCCTCCTCTATCCGCGGCAATCGTCAGCATGTGACACACGATGAAGAAAATCTAATTCCCTCTCTCAATCGCCGTAATTGATTCAAGAAGAAATCAGCCTCGCCATGTGAAAGAATCCAATACGGGTTCAGTCGAGGGGTCAAGCGCTACCGAATCGATGAGTGATCACAGGAGGTATTCCTAAAACTCACTGGTCATCGTGATTCTTGATGACTCGAAGATACATGATATGGTTAAATGTTCTGCTGTCCACTCATTATACATCGAGAAGATTAGTATGCTAAAGACTTTTGAGTGGGCGGGGCAAATAGAGGGGCGTGGCTAATTTGCTCATTCTAGGAGAATATTATTTTCAGTGCAGAATTCAGTGTTATATTGCAGGCTATATCCAAGCAGTTGCGTAAACTGCAGAATCGATACACTGTCAGATTGAGACGGTCGTTTGAGGTGAGATTAATTTCGCCAAGCTTTCAATTTTAGCCCTCTTGCATGACCACAGAGAAATCCACACCAGACAACAAGCCCAATGACCAGTTATGGGAGACAATTTGCAGTCTCATCTTGGCCATTTGCATCTATGCACAATGTGAAATTTATTCACGTTCACCGCCATGATTTATCCCTGAAGATGTGAATTTAGTGCGAATTCACGTCTCATTGCCATTTTACCAGGCGCAGTTCTTTTTTCACTGCTGTGCCAAAGTACAATAAGAACATAAATAAGTCACACACACACGGCCTATCTCAGGAGAATGGCTAGCGAGTGTGTGGCATAAATATGCCGTGGATGAGCAAAAATGCCAATTAATAGCAATGAGTGCATCCTCCGCACACTTCCAAACATGGCAAACACACAAGAGTCAAAATGCATCCAGTCTTTTCGTCCATACGCAAAAGATGGTCGCGACGCAAGGATGCGCGCAGCGACAACTGCACGGGCAAATATGGAATTGATTTATGGCAATCTAGAGGAGTAGAGGAGACACTTTATCTCAAATACCTTTAGCACTTTTTATTAGCCATGGCGCGCGGTTTGTTCGCCTGATTGGGCCGAAGCGGAGACGCGACGAAGCCACCAGAGAGTGAGAGAAGGAGATTTATTCAGGCAACAAGAAAGAACACCCATTTGTCTCCATCCCCGCAGCTCAGACCACTCTTTGACATGTCTGGAGATTGCCGGAGACTCCAGGTGTGGGTGGAAGCTCTGATTTATTCATCCTCACCCCCGGTCGCAGCCTTAATTGCACCTTTATCCCACGTGGAAGGCAATCTGCCACTCTCACCCAAACATCCTTTAATTGCCGGATCATTGGAATAATTGCACTGAGTTTGTCGAGGACTTACAAGCCAAGAGAAAGTTTTACAGGCAGAAAATCGTTAATCGAATTTGAATATACAATGGCGCTTTTGGAGTGCCACTCAATTTGTTGCACTTTCGCACAAACCTCGCGCTGCTTAAAAGGCATTAAGACGCACAGCATGACAATGTCTTTCACAAAATGATCATTCATCGAAACAAAACACCTTTTGAGCCACAACATTTGAACAAGAGTGACTTGCACAAACGCGAAATTGCACTTGAAGACTTAACGTATCTTGATTATATCTCTCAGAGGAGATATTTTTAACAGTTATCGCCACGACTTATTGAGCGAATAATTGAGATTCATTAGCAAGATTGGTCGAGGCAGTACTTAAGGAGAGATATTGGGTCAAATGTGCGCCGTTTTGGGCGATTCATTTATTAGAGTTGTTGATCTGCTGTCTTTATCTCAATTGATCAATTTGACGGCATCAACATGTGGCGTCTGTCGAAGGCTAAAGCGCCCTGTCTGAGGGATTAGAGATCCTAAATGGTCACATCCTCACGAGAAAGGATTTACACCATGTCGACAGACAAATAAGTACCTGTCCGACTGAAAAGTCTCTATTCCTTTAGCGATAAGAGATCCATAATGAAATCTTCCGAATGCACCGGCCGTAGAGGTTTTTTTTCTCCAAATTCTTCTTGGCATGTTTTATTTACATTCACTAAAGCCACCAACAGGAGAAACATGTTGGCAGGCCAGAGTGATGATGGAAGGCGAGTTGGAAGAGGACAAAATGTGATAATTCTGGAAGAATTACTCATCAAACATTTGCTTTGCTTGTTTTTAAGACATTTTAGCGTCGCCGAGGCGTGCTCTTTTGATGATACACCCAGTATACAAATAACAACAAATTTACTAATAAAAACACTTTTTCCCTCTGACTAGTGCGCGTGTGGGAGGAGGGAATCATGACATTCCAGCGCACATGAGAGCAAAAGGGAAAACTCTCCGTGCACAACCCAAAGAAATTCAACACCATCACAAGGCCCATCAGTTGAGGAAGGAAGATGGGAAAGACCCAAAATGTGTCATTTTTTATTTATTGGAGTGTCATGAAGTGTACTTTTAATTTCCAAGAACACCAATTTACACACCAGCCGAGAACATTAATATCTCCACTTGGGGCATTATCACATCGCGAAGACGGTTTGAAGGCAGCGGGAAATGCTCACGACCCACAAAAATTAACCCTTGCCATCCTTTACGACCACCAAATGGGAGGGAATCGCTGTAATATTCTCACACTTTTTCACATCATGAGAATTTTCTGAGCCAGTTTTTCCAGCTGTGCTTAGACGTTCCGGGAACACCAGAAGACGCTTCTTATTAAATGCTTATGGAATTTTTACACACTGCCTAAATACACAGAAGCCAAAGTCTAGAGGTGAAAAGTATTCATTGCCCGAAAGGAAGTTACGAATTTGCTTAAAAGCCAATTCTACACCAATTTGCAAATCAATTCGAAATCCATTATCGATGTTGAAAAACTATACTTTCTAATTAAAATACCGTGACAGAATTCCCATCTGTTTCACAAACTTGCGAAAGCAGGGAAAAAATGATGATAAGATTCCGTGAGCTATGAAAGAACTTTCGAGCATCTCTCGTTAAATTTACATAAACGCCAAACCAAATGTTGATAATAAAAAAAAAAGATCTCAATGAACGAATTTCTACCCTACTTTCAAATGCCAAGCGAGAAGATCAATTTACATATATCGCGTGAATGTCACATATTTCACTCCAGAGATCAACTCCATGCCTCGAAGAAGGACGCACAAAAAAGTACGCTGAAAGCATCAAGAAGTCTCTTGAACGTCATAAAAATGGGTTCAAGTATATATTTTTTCTTGCCTCTCACACCAACTATTTTATATGTTAATAATAAAATAATATTTCCAGACATGTTCCATTTGGGCTGCTGGTGTTTTGGTACATTTTACAGTTCTCTCCGCTCCGCGAGTACATGGAAAAAGCGTCGTAAAGAAACGCCCAACATGTTTATTAAAAACTTAAACACCATCGCGAGGAGCCCGCTTTGGGGCCATCAGCAATGCGTGGCACTATCTCAAATGTCAGAGTCATTTGCCGCCCAAATTAGAATGCATGGAAAACTGATGATGAGGGACTAAGTGATTTTTCATAGAGTCGAGGAGAAGAGAGAGATAAAATTCTAATGCAAAAACCATATGAATGATCAATCAAAGCATTTAGTGGCGTTTATGCGCGAGGGGTTTATCAATGGACGAAAGGAATGAAAGGTGTTTTTTTTTAGATACGACAAATGAGAGACAATTTCCGGAGCTTTACTCCCAAATCAATGATCAGTGGAAATTTTTCCGCCCACAACTAATGCAACATTCCAAGTTGCTGATTAACCTCTAGGGATTTAAACAGTAAATCTTTCCATTTGTCATCACAGGCAATTTGCAGACAACACTCGTGAGCGAGAGGCGAGATTACTCAAAAATCCTGTGTATATAAAATTTCCAAAAACAGCCAAGAAATGAATGTGATTCCCAAAAGGAAAAAAGCGAAAGTTCAGCTCACATTCGTGAGCACCAGGTTTGTAATCAATTAGCGATGAAATCCGGGGGGAACTCTTAATTACAAAATCACATAAATTCCCATCAAACGCGCTTTGAAATATTGTGACACAAATATCCCCATCAAAATGCAATATTGCCGAGGTAAAATTGATTAGAGCCGCCAAAGACTGTTGCTGTGTTGGTGATTTAAAGTAGTTCTGAGCCATTTTTGGCAGAGACACACAAAGACTGTAATATTAACATAATCAGATAATTGAATCGGCTCAGCGTGTAACGGACAAACGCACAAATATGATTTCCGCGTGTTCCTCTAGATCGCGTTCACCAATCTTGAAAGAAGATACTCGCGAGATTGCTTGCATGCTGAGAGATCGGGTCAAAAATGCCATGAAAGTATCTAATTTATTAATTTTCATATTTT